AGTGTTATGTGAAAGGTTCTTCACATAACGCTTAATTTAAAAAGTATTATGTGAAAGGTTATTTGCATAACGCTTAATATAAATAAGTGTTATGTGAAAGAGTAATCACATAACGCTTAATATAAAAGGTGTTATGTGAAAGGTTCTTCACATAACGCTTTATAAGCGTTATCTGAAGAGACCTGTCTTCAGATAACACTGACTCCAATAACGCTTAAAAGCGTTATCTGTAGCAAAAAAAAGCGCTATCTGAAGCCTTTTTTGGCGTAGTGATGTGTGCCTTGTGTCGAAAGTCTTCCTGACGAAAGGGTGGTTAGACGGCGGGTTTCGTGGGTGATAACGACAGTACAAGATAGTCGGATCGTATGAATTTCGTTCAAGGTTCAGGGGAGGCCCAATGTGGTCTTGTGTTTGAGGAGAAGTTTGTAGGGTGTGCAAACTAAATCCCACGGGGCATGTTCCCCGTGGAGTCGATGGCCGGCTGGTGGATCTGTGTGCCTTGTGTCAAAGTCTTCCTGGCGAAAGGATGGTTAGGCGGCGGGTTCCGTGGGTGATAACGGTGGTACAAGATGGTCGGATCATATGAATTTCGTTGAAGTTCAAGGTTCAGGGCAGGGGCGGAGCCACCCTAAGGCTAGGGTGGGCTCCAGCCCCATGTAATTTTTTGTTAATGTTATTTTTGCTAGCCTTATTTTTTTAAAAAAAATTATACATAAACCCATTAGCCCCATGTAATTTTTTATGTAGCCCAATTTAATTTTAGGCTGAATGCCTCAAGAATATCTTCAAGTTAAAATTTTTAATCTGACAACAACGGTGAAAAAAATAGTGAAGAAAAAATACAATTCTTTATTGTAAAATGATGACTATGACCTTATTAGATTTATCAATTGAGTTTATAATGTGACCCAACACATTCTTGCCTTTTATATTTTCAATCGGTTGACTTGATAAATATCAAATTAGTTGGATAATTAAGTTTGACACAGACTTTTCAAACGGGCTATTTAATTGGGTTCGTCTCAGTCCACAGTCGGTTATCTATTTTTATTTTTATTTTATTTTTTTTTTGTTGATTTCGCCTCTAATAATTAACTCGGCATCATTTCCTAGACAAAGAGAAATCTCGTACAGAGTTGATTGCAAACATGTTCGACTCTATTTGTTTGATCGACAAAATTCGATTAGCTATTTGAGTTTGGTTTGTTTAAATATAAAAACGATTCGAGATTGAGTTTTTTCAATTCAAACAGACATATGTTAAATGATATTTTGTTTCTAATCATAACCAAAACTGATTACAGGTCGAAACCGTCGATATCGGGTCGGGAGTTGGAGGACCATGAACCGACGTGAACATATGTACAGGTCGGTTCATTGAACTGTCGGTTATTGGTCGGCCGGTTCATAAAAAAAAAATAATTAAAATAATATTTTTTTTTAAAAAAAAGCCGAACCTCGAATTCCGATTTCAATCCGGAACCAAAACTGTATGTTCAAAATGTATAAACTATAAGGTATTTTACATGAATCGAACTGGTCAAAACCACGGACCGGTTCAAGACCCATGGTCAACGGGCCAGTTTGCGTCGGTTCGGGCCGAACCGACAGGCTGGGTCGGCTCATGACCATGTCCAGAAGGTTCTAATAATAGCTACAATTATATGCAGCCCCAGGTTAAAAAATTTCCTGGCTACGCCCCTGGTTCAGGGGGAGACCTAATGTGGTCTTGTGTTTGAGGGGCGATTTGTAGGGTGTGCAAACCCAATCCCACATCGAAAAATTAAAGGTTCCAAGTCCAATATATAAGTTTGGTGGGTTACTCTTTCTATTGCCAATTGGTTTTAGAATGGAATCTCATTTGGACTTGTATATATATTGGGCTTGACAGAGATCTGGGTTTTGAGTTGTTGGTCCCAGCACAAACTTGTTCACAAACAACTCGTTCAGGGTTTTAAGTTTATTAAACGAGCCTAGCTGAATTTTCACGAGCTAAAATGAGCCAAGAAAAACAGCTTGCCTATTAAACGAGAACGAGCTCAAACACGAACAACTTGGTTGGACTCAAATAACTCCGAATTTTTCAAGAAGTTTGGGCCCAACAGAGATGGGCCAACCCAAAGTTGAAGCCCATACAACTTCAGCATGTAGCCTGCATGTCCAAGTTTTATCCTCATCTTTTTTTTCTGTCTTTTATATTCCACAAAAATCTGAAAATTAGTGATTGAAATGACAAAGAACAGTTAAGTGTATAACATAGTAATAATATTTGAAAGCCTTTCGTCTCTAAGAAGACAAAGCATTCAATTAGTCATATCCATTTACCATCTCAAGCTTTATTTCATTTTTTTCGAAAATAAAAAGTTTCCACTATTTCTTCTGACTTAATCCGAAGGAATTCAAATGTAAATCAAGCGGTACAGTTATTATCGTACGTTGGGTTAATCAATCAACTCGTTTCGCCCATTTTTTTTTTCTGAAAAGTTGAGTAATTTGCTATTATTGTCCTCGACCGCGAAATTTGTACAGGACAACCTGACTGTCCTAATACTTGTACGAGCTCGAGCTCGAGCTTAATCGTTTATCGATCAAGACGAACAGAGAACTCAAAAGTTGAGTTAATCAGCCGCTAGTTTCGTTTAAGAACTATATTTCCAACAATAGAGAAGTCAAATATGTCCAACCCTCTAACGATGAACTATAATACTAGAAGAATTAATGAAATTTTTTAATATGGAGTGTGTGATATAAACAGAATAATAATTAACTTTAATGTGATAAAAATTAAAAAAAAAAAAACAATTAATAGTTATAAATATGTCAATGGACAAGTAATAATGTTTTTTATATATATAAGTATATAGTAATAAGTGATAATATATATTTAATTGAAAATTATGTGAATGAAATAGATGTATAAAGGGTAAAATAAAATAATGAATCTAAATATATGTATGATATGAGATATTATACTAGACCGACCTTAATGGATAAGAAATAATATATTAGAGAATAAGTCCACATATGGGGTTAAGACACATAGAATATTGGTATGGGCCAAGTCCAACTTGGAGTATCAACTCACTCTCTCTGCATTCATAATTATACTTTTGAGATTTAGAGTTTTGGAGTGGTATTGACTTAAGAATCGGAAGCCCGAAGCCAAGACACTTCTCGGTGTTGGGTTCTGTAGGTAGGGGGCCTTCCGAATTGAAGGAGCCCCGGGTGAAATCTATTTCACCAACAATGTCTAGTTATACCCTTACATTCATACAATTGAATCATGAGGACATAAAATTTACTAAATAACACTTACATCACTTTCAAAATAAAACTAACATATACATAAGTTTTTGGAAAATGCTATAGTCTCGTTACGGAATCATCTCATCTTAGATCATCTATCTTATATTAATTACATGTGTACCCAACGGTTAAAACTCCCGACGAAATATTCCCGTAACGGGACCTTAGCATTTCCCTAAATTTTTATCATTTTTTATGTGAAACAATTATGCTTCCACATAATTTATATCAAATTTATTTATGTTTCAAATTTACCCTAAACCAAAAACGACGCCGTCGGGGCCATTTTAGAAAAAGTAAAAGGAACAGTAATAAGATCAAAACCCACGATTGGATTTCGAATTCTACGTTTTTACCGTCCGGACACTTCCCCGCCGCGCCAGCCGTCGACCGCCGTCTGGTACGTACTGTTTCGCCGGGGATTTTCATAATGTCGTCACGTTTTTTGTATGCTTTTATCGTTTATTTACAACAAATAACCAGCTGCCCCGAGCGTGATGAATGTTGTCGATTGAGCTGGATGTTTGGGAATGTTAGCGAGAAATTTAGAAGATAGTGGTTATTGAGCGTAAGAATGTAGTTAAAGCGTTCGACGAAAGTTCTATAAGAAATCTTGAATGGTACATGGTGGTTCGCCTTGAATGTTCTGTGCATGAAACCCTAAATGCTGTGTAATTGCTCGTAGTGTTTGCAGAGTTTTCAGTTGAACAAGTTCGACTATCTCGCTAATTTCACACGAACGTTTTAGTTTTAGATGTAAATGTGTGGTATTATTAGTATTATTTATTTGTTTGTTTATTTTTGTGTTTGGCTGATTTATCAGTAAATTCATCACCTTGCTAGTAAATGAGCTGATAAAGGGTGCTCGTCAATTGAGAACAGATTTTACATTTTGTAATAGTGATTGTAAGTGATTGGTACTGTTTCACCGGAGATTTTCATAATGTTGTTATGTTTTTTTGTATGGATTTTTTTTATTTACCACAAAATAACCAGTTCCGGCGTGCATGATTGTCGAATGTTGTTGAATTTATAGGGAAGTTAACGAGAAAGTTAGAAGTTAATAGTTATTGAGCGTGAGAATGTAGTTAATATGTTCGACGAAGGTGCACAAAAAAGAACTTACAAAGTCATTTGCCATAATGTTCTGTGCATGAAACACTAAATGATGTGTGATTGCACGTAGTTTTTGCAGAATTCTCAGTCAAACAGGTTCGATTATCTCGCTGGTTTTGTACGACGTTTAATTTCTGAAATAAAAGTGTGGAGATATACTTTTTTTTTGGTATTTTTATCTCTGATTTATCAGTAAATTTATCACCTTGTTTGTGTGTGAAATGATAAAGGATGCTCGAATTCTTACTTTGGCGCTCGGTGATTTTCTGAAAAGTGAGAACAAATACTTACATTTCATAATGCTTGTATTCATTTCTTAGTATTTGCAGAATTCTCAGTCGAACAGGTTCGACTATCTCGCTTGTTTAGTACGGCATTTCATTCCAGAAGTAAATATGTGGGATTGAATCTTTTTGTATTTGTTTGACTGATTTATCAGTAAATTCATCACCTTGCTTGTATATGAACCGATAAATGGTGCTTGCTTTCTTCAACACTCGATGATTTTTCAAAATGTGAGGACAAAATACGTACATTTCATAATGCTTGTATTCATAATTGAAGTCCAGGGTACAAGAATGGGCAGCAGCAAGTCTGAAGCAGAGTACAATGCATTCCTGGAGAAAGTTCAGAGAACAATCTACATCGACAACTTATCTCCCCACGCTACCGATAAGGTCTTGAAGGCTGCTTTTGACCAGTTCGGGTGTGTGGTCAGTATTCAATTCATCCCGAACTTTTTCGAGCCCAAAAACTTGCCGGTATCTGCCCTGGTCGAGATGGAGAGCGCGAAGCAGGCTCAGGGGATATTAGCCCAGATGGAGAACAATCCATTCATGGTTTTGGGCATGCCCAGGCCCGTCAGGTCCCGGCCCGCTAGGCCCGAGATGTTTGAAGACCGCCCGAGAAAACCGGGACGGAAGATTTTCTGCCGTTGGGTTGACCCGAAAGAGCCAGACTTTGAGGTGGCCAAGAAACTGAAGCATCTTGTGAGGAAACACAGTGCGGAAGCATCTCTGTTGCTTGAGGTACGTGCTTCGTTTTGTTTTATTAGTTTTTAAGTTTCAGGGTATTTATAGAAAAACTTGCCGAGGTTCTAGTTTTTGACAACACAATAGTTCTTTTGACTATTTGCTATCTTTGTTACTGAGTGTAATTAGTAATTACCACTGCATAACCGAGTTGTGCTTTTAAGCTTAAGTTTCAGGGCATTTATGGATTGTTCAGTTGTGTTTAGAAATGGCTGGTGCTTGTGATACTTGGCTCGGCTTCTAGCTAAATGTTAAATCTTTCACGAGTAAATGTGGCTGGTAAGTCTAATCTAATAACCAGATAACAGAGTTGCCTTCTCAAAAATTTACTAATACAACTATTTAGATGTTGCAAACATTTCTATTGGGGCTCTGTATTTCTTAACCGAAATTGAAATTTGTAGGGCTTTGTAATTTGGCTAAACATCGAGAATAGTTTATGTCCGACTCTAGGGCGGCAAACGAACCGAGCAGCTCGCGAGCGCTTGAGTCAAAGCTTGGCTCGAGCATGTTATCGAGTCGGTCTCGAGCATAGGTTTTGGAAGGTCGACCGGCTCGAGATATGAAGTGAATTGCTACAATATTAGGCTCCTTATGTGTAAATATGTACATCATTTTATATATGTACTTAATGGTAATTTTATTTGAAATTCGAGTCGAACTCGAGCCGAGCACGAGCGATTGTCTTCTTTTGTCGAGTCGATCTCGAGAGTCATAAATCGAGCTCGACAAGCTCGAGCTCCAGCAGGTAAAAGAAAAATTAATCTTGCTCGGCAAGACCAATGCTCGACTCGGCTTGGCTCATTTGCAGCCCTAATAGACTCCAATGAACTTAACTGATATCAAACTTCATTTTCGTATTAAATGCAGCATCAAATGGCAGAGGAGGAGAAGCTCGCGAAGCAGCAGAGTGAACTATTGAAAAGCCAATACAAGAAGTTTGAGCTGCTTGAGAGCGTGTTCATGGATGGGACTGCCAAGAATTTGGCACGTAAATACGACATGTCTACAGATGGCTGATCGGTTTTTCCTACGCTACATATATATTTTGTCGAAAAATGTAGAGATGGACCTATTTAGGAGCAGGAGATTATGTGTTAGGTGGCTGCTGTAAAAATGTCTGATACCAAGCTAAGCTAACAGTTTAACACTGGATTTTGAAGTATTTTGCTGTAGGTAAGGGAAATAGGTATGCAGTTAACTGAAACTTTGTAACACTTTTTGTGGGTAAGGAAACTTTCTGGGGTCATCATATTATATGATTGGTAATGGATTGAGAAAATTTATGGTAACATAACACAACTTTTATTCCGTGCCACAAATTTTTGTGTGAGACAATATAACGATTAGGCCGGATCGACTCCTTACAATTTATTAAAAAGTAAAAATTGTCGTACTTCTAATTAGGTTGATTTCTAGATTTATAGGTTTGCCTAATGTTAGTCCTACCGCCGAGCACGTTTATTCTAATTTTAGGCTGACTAACGTTGAGATAATTCATATTTTTATATACATGCATATATAAATTCTTTAAAATTGAAATGTCATACTTCAAAAACAAATGACATTTCTCGGAATAAGTATACATATTTATCAAAAAGTATGACGAGTGGACCAATCGAAAATACAAAAATATATCGCTTTTTTTTT